GGTGTACATTTTAAATAATATCCACTATTCTAGCACTTGGTTATACCCAAGGACTCCGCAGATTATTGAATTATTGTGCTGAATTCCATTTTTTCTTCTTGATTACTCTGGTACACTTGGTTATTCTGTGTGACTTGTGCGCCAGCATTGACCTATTGGTATATTTTTCTATCTGTACAAATTTGGTTTATGTTCTTTGGTTTATTTCGGAATGCTCATTGATTGGCACAACTGCCGTCTGTGTGCAACATCTTGGATTTTTCTACTGCAATCGGTCATGATGACAACCATACCGGTAACCCAAAAGAAAGTATTTTGTGCTAAGCGAACTAGTAATAAAGTTGTCAAAGAAGCATTGACTTGTATAAATTGTCAAGTCCGGTACGATTCGATGTGTTTCAAGTTATGCAGAACCATTATAATGAAATGCAACAGGCCGGGTTCATTTTGGTTCTTTTCGAATTGCACGAGGTTTCCACTAATACATGCTTACTAGCTTTACCAAAACAATACAACAACCAACTCGTTAAAACTGAACATAGTTTGAATGCAAACCTTGCTTCTTTCGAGGCGATATTAGCGCATCTTGCGCCTCATCCGTCTCCCTTAATTGCTACCACAAAATCAAGAAAAGTGTCAAGCTTTCACACTGCCTCACAGCATTAGAAACAGTAACCATTGACTAAGTCGTCATCGAGACCGATAAAAGCATGCATAGTCCCACAGTCCACAACCGCGAAACGGGTCAATTGCCAGATGCAACATACAGAGACGTCACTAATCCCTCGATAACGGTGGATCCCACATCATCGAAAACCAGATGATTCTACGATGCATTGACTTTTATGAGCATCAAGGTTCCTGACTCCGAGCGAACTGCTTAAGCGGTAAACAGCTGGATAATTTAAATAAATGGTGTAACTTTGTCATAAATTCGAAGTTTAAAATTGTCCCACTAATGTAATGCGCATCACTAGACATCTAACCACGAGTCCTTATGTAAGCCTCGGGTATTGCGAGTAACATTGCAATTGATAGATGTTGTCAAGACGGTACTCTTGTTGGCATTCCGCCCGCGGTCTGAAAGCAATGGAATGCTCATATTTCCGGATGTTCCATGGAGCCAAAACCAGCGAAACAAAAATTATCCAAACGACCACCACACAGAGGGTAGCGTGTTCGGGTGGCGTGTCCGAGATGTTGACAATTATCAAATGAGAAGCCTTGCTGATGACCAGGAAAATGGAGTTACAACCGTAAAGCTTTCTGTGCGAGCGGTGTCATATTTCATTCGATTACATGGTTAACCATGCCACTAAAATAGAGAGGCAATGGCGTAATGATACTGAAATTAACGGCGTAGTCAAAACAAATGGCCGTGAAATAAGTCAAATGTTGACAGTTACTTCTCTACACACTTCATTGAACCAATATTGAAGACAGTAGTTTTTTGGCCGAACCAACTCGCTGTTCTCGCGGAAACGACACCATCCGCGGTTCAATTCAACCACAACAGCGATTCAGAAACTTGTACGCTAAGACTAGTACATATCGGGAAGGCTGCTGATGGTCAACCTCCCACATGTGAAGTGAGAACAACAAAAGATTGCACTCTATTAGAGAGTTGGTAATTCACAAAAAAAACGATTCAGTGCCTGCCTCTCCTCGGTCGGCACAAATATACAACATTCATGTGCCCCTAATCCAAAGGCTTTCTCTATCCTGCAAGCTTTACTATATGTACCCCAACGAGTAAGGCTTACTAAGCAAACCTTCCGAAATGCGACTGAGTCAAGGATCAAAAGCCTGCGACTTAATTGAAATAACGGAGACATGATTAAGCCCTGACAAAAGTGAAATGGAGATCGTGCTGCCAGGCATGTCCATTATACGGCACGACCGTCCCAGCAAACTCGGAAGAGTGACTCTGTATATCCGCAATGACTTCCAATGTGAGCTTAGAGACGAACCGGTCAGAACAGTGCAAAATTCCCTTTGGTACCGTCCACGTTAAAAAGGCGTGGACACTTGTTTTGTGGTAGTCATTTATCGCCCACTTTCCACAACGCACGAGACGAATCCCATCTGGCATCGACCGTAATGATGGTGATAAACACCACCTACAGAAACATACACATTACTCATTAAAACATCCATGCGTTGGAATCTCAAGAAGCTTCCAGAGAGCAGTTTAAGTCCGATCTACAAGAGCTGCTGTTACCCTCTGTATAACCACATCAACAGCCCCACCTATTCCAGAGAAAAGTATGTTTTCCATACTGCATCGGATATTGACCAATGAAGAACGTATGGTCGAGTGGGTGATCCTCGACCTCCCATTAAACAGCAGCGATCATGCAGTACTACTCTTCGAAAAGAGCTGCAGAGCAGAATATCAAATGGAAATTGCCGAGGCAACGAGAAACTATGCTCGCTACGAAATATTAGCTGGACCAGCTGAGACAGCCAACTGGACGTTGCTGGCAGACCAGGACTCATGAGGGGTACATTGGAAGAATTCGTCAGTTAGTTTAACACCCTGGTTGCCGAAACGTCGGCGACTAAGTCATTGTAGCCAAAATATCTGGTTTCCTTACTATGAAATATTACGAAGCAGTGTATTGCGGTACGAAACTCAGTCTGGCATGTATACTAAACCTCATCCAGCACCGAGAAGAGGTAGACCTGGGCGACCCAACGTAACCAATGCACTCAGACTGTTCGCGAGAACAGACCGGCGTACAAGCGGAAGTTGAGAGTGCATATGGCCTCAAACCACAAGCTTCTGTATCAGCACGTCAATTGTCTACTTGTGGTAATACGGGAAATTCCTCCTTTTCAAACTGCAGACAGCTACACACGGACACTGATGGAGGCAGCGAATACCCTGCGCCTACAATATGCTGCAACATTTCAGTGCGCGCACTGCCTACCAAACTATATGACGATGGTTGTTTTACCCAAAAGCGCACTCACATATTCTTCACAAAAGCTATAATAAAATTTTGTTGAGCATGCGCAAGCACGGCTCTCCTGGAGCTGATGATATAAACATGAAATCTCTAGATACAGTGGGAGAGAGTTTAGCTAAGCATCTGGCTCGATTCTCCCAAAAATGTTTTGACGAAACGTACTTGCTCGACATGTGAAAAACTGGATGATTACTCCTATTCACAAGGGAGATAGCCGTTCCTACCTAGCCAACTACAGTTCCATAACCTTACTACCGTTTATTTCAAAGGTCATGAAGACTATTTTTACTGTTGCGCTAGAGGCTTACTTGGGATGATATATCTACATCCTACCGGAAATTATCAATTCAGACATACTCGATCGTGCATTACAAATCTACTACTGGCACGATCCAGCTAGACTGAATCAGTAGATTCTAGTACAGGAGTTGATGTATGCTTTCTCGACTTCCCAAATGAGTTCGACCGGTTAGACCATAACATTTCGCTCTTCAAACTACACAACTTTGTTATTGGTGATCCTCCTCCATCCGATGTGCACATATGTAATCATGCTGCACTTACGACAAACAGGAGCTTCAACCGTCTTCTAGCGAGAAGGATCTGAAATGTTTGGTCCATGTCGACCTTGAAAACTAGAAGCAGGCTGAAACTGCGTCAAAATGTAGGCTTCCTGAAGCGTGCATTCGGACGATTCGATCATTTAATTTTTCACATCCTAGACTCATACCTACGGTCAAATGAGGAATACGCAATACAGGTTTGGCTGCCATGGCTGAGGAGAGATCGTATCGCTTCGGAGATAACCCAACGCCATTCAATGAAGAATGTCAGGGGTCTGTATTATTTGCGTAGAATGCCAGGATCAAGCCTAGTCAAAGCGCAAATTATACTATGGTATTATTCAAATGGATATCAATTGTGCTGAAACACATCAACAATCCTGCTTTGTAAGGAAACAACCGTGTCTTTACAAGGTAGGCGATTAGGGTGCAAATTGCTGTACCTGAAGCTAAAACGAGATCGTGAACCCCAATATCCGCGCGTTGAGTTAAACAGGCAATTATATTTGGTCACAATTGCAGGCAATTGCGAGTTTGATTTACAGCATAGAAAGGATAGTATGCATTAAGTCCCGGTTGACTTAAATGGAGCAATTTTCAATAACAATGCGTAGAGAATGTGGGGATGAATCGAAGACAGTCAAATGTGTCATATTGAGCAAATTGCGTTGATCGATGGAATAGGACGCGCTGCTTAGTTTGTATGAACCCACGGAGGGCAAGGAAATATAAAACAAACATGGTTTGACAAGCAGACGCAGATCGAAAGTCAGCAGATGTTAGTTCTGGTTATCTAGAGCAAGGCTCGGACACCGAAATATATCTTACCTGGTAAATTTTCACGGAGCATTGCGTTCGTACAGTGTTCAATTTGGATGCCAACACAAGAAACTGGTCGTTTAATAGTAGTGAATACCATATGCATGTGGTTCCAAGTTCTCCCATCAAACGTATACCACAATTTTACTCCGATTTCGTCTTTCAGATAGTATGTGAACTAATACAGGGATAATAGCGTCGGCAGACAAGTTGCCAGGAGTTGTGCTAAAAGAAATAATTAGCAGTTCCTTAACATGAAGCATGGTGTTTCGCACAGCCATGACACAAACACAGCTTACGCAGCTTCCGAAACTGCTATTACCTGGCAAATGCGTGAGTAGCTGTTACGGAAAGACACTAATCGTTCAGCTGACTTGGACCAACCTGGTGGTTCCGAACCGACTTATGTTCCGTTCAGCAACACCAAGCTTCAAAATTCCTCCACTGTCAATTACATTGACATTTCGCATGCGGGTGCACAAGTTAGTGATTATCGGCTACCCAATCGGCGCACAGGTCGAAAACAAATTCTCGTTTATGCGACACACATTTCCACCAACTAGAAAAGCCCACTGTCTGGAAAGAACAATGTGGCGAGTATATAACTTAGATGCGCAGCAAAATGATAGATTGCCAGATCGCTGTGATGTTCACGTCAAAATACTTACTAATACTTGGTACGTATCGGGATGACTGTGCACTTTATCTTCAGAAGCTGATTATTTAGTGATTGTCTTCCACCACGGAACTGTGTTGTCCATGAGTATAATCTATTCCCATACAGTAGATACCAGACTAATAGGATTAATCAGCACTAGATAATATTTTGCATTACCATAATAAAACATTGAAGAAAACCTTTAACTCGTTATTTGTATTAGGCAGACGGATGTATTTTTTGTTGAATCACATTCATTACTCCAGCAGTTTAAAATTTAACAACTGCTTCATCCGATTAGGTCATGTGTACATCATAAAATGTGCCACGCACGCAATTAATGCGTAGGACAAAATGATGCCCAACCCAAAATTAACTGAGCCACTTTGCACTTAAGTTGTTTCTGTATCAAACACACAGGCAGTGCTAGAATCGGTTGCTCAATGCAGTGAGGTTTTGTATCTGACAGCGTGCGCACACCGTGCTTAGATGCGTACCAACAACATCGTTGAACTGCCGACTGTCGAAACAATTGACAGGATAGTCGAAATACCTGCACATTCGATGCATGATATTCAGAATACATCGAATAGCGAAACTGACACCTTGGTCCAGGCCACGAACTTAGGCATTCTGGATTAATGCACTTCAGAAGCACCTTGTGTGACAAATGATTTCTTAACGTATTCTTCAATTATGCGGCCTCTTTTATTCAACAGCGATTGCGTTTGGGCAATGCGAACTAAAACATCAACATGGTAAGTTTTACATTAGTGAAATGGATGTCTTTAATTAATCGTTACAAACCCATTGCTGGTTGCAAATTTTCCATTGCGTCGGTGATGTCTATGTTATTATTTGCTTCAAAATTTCATGTAAAATGCAGTCAAGATTGTAAAGTAAAAGCAGAAAGACCGGCGTAAAATTTGCTGGCCTAAAAAACCAACTCTAGTCTGCCAGATTACCTAATGAACTAGCCAACATTTTAATATGTACTTCATTTATGCCTATCCTAACAGTCGTAATAATAACAGGCGCATTATTGAAAGATGGAAATCCGGTACCATTTACAAGTAAAAAGGACTTGGAAGATAATCCTGCATGTAAACATTTTGAAGATGTTTGTATCAAGGTAAACAATATTGCATGCAATATGTTTCTAAAAGCGAATATTAATCGCATCAACGCACGAACGATCTATGAAGGATATGGATTTTCTGAATAATTATGGTTCATCTTTCATTGTGACACATATGCTGACGTAATGTCTGGAATTCTGACCTATGCGTGATGAAATGTGCTCTAGCTGATCACTGTGAAATCATCACCCATTAACAGACATAATTTGTCACGCGATTTCAGATCTTGGCGTCAATTACATCCAATGCAGATGTGTCATCCGAATTGATCGGATGTGACTTTTCTTCATTTGCTGCACTACCAAATCAAACTCATGTCATCGTCAACGTAGAGAATAAAGGATCTGCAGAAATGCACATGTTTGTAAAGGAATTGTTTTCGGAATGTGAAAGACGGAGAACTGACTCGAACAGCACGGGCTTAAACCTTCAACGACATTTCGGTAAATTAGTCTTAATGGTTGTAATGATATTTGGACACCCTTGCGTCTTCTGCCAATCTAGCTATCTTAGTGAAACAATTGCGTTGCAGTCAGTAGTGATGGAATTTATCAATATGCCAGGGATTCTGCGGTTATCAGCCACCCATTTATATGCGATTATCTTCAGATTAAATTTAAATCGTACACGGGCCAAACAATATGTCACACTTTCATATGCCTTTTGAAGTAGGGTTCTTTTGACGACAATCTGATAGATTTACTCTTTTACAGAGACTGTCATCGGTCCTGGGTACGCAAGTAAGTTGTTTTACAATATCGAGATTCATAGCAAGCAACGACAGCTAGACCAACAGGTAAGCGATCCATCCACTTATTCCCATGTAATCTGGCTTCTGGACTTAGTAGATATCACTGGATTCTCAACCGAACCGACGTCAGTATGTAGATACTGACACGACAATCCTATGCAAAAGATCCCACGTTTATCACCAGAGGGAGCAGTTCAACGCTGCTGAATACTCTTGCGATTTTATATCACGTAATCGCTTTTATTATCAGTGTGAATTCGCCATTAGAGATGAAAAATACTAGTCAAACTGCCAGCGATTCCCACAAAGATTTTAACCATAGTATATCACTATGGAAATTAAATGGGTGAAAAGCCCAAACGCACACCTACACCTATATTTTGACCACTGCTAACCAAGGGTAATCGTCACACCATATTGGCAACATCCACCGTTTTACGTGAAATTTATTGTGCCTGTATCTTTCGAATTACTTGTGTTTTCAAACTAATTTAGCCATCCGGATTGCCATGGGATTCGTCGGAGATGATTTAACGGGCAATTGGCTCAGCGTATATGGCAGTGCAACTGAGGTGATGCATATTGCGGAGACGACCTGCTCGAAAGTAAGCAACAATTTTGACTTCATTCGTACACACGTTTCGCTGCGGTACTCATTGCCGTGACTCACGATTATTGGAAGACGGCGGTGGCCAAATGGTGTACTCGCGACATTATAAAACTTCACAATATACTATACCGTTAACTCCAAATTCCTGCACTCCATGTGCAACCTAGCTCACTCTCAATTTGATTGCGATCATTCTATTGTTTATATCCTTGGCTTAATTTCTACAAATTGGACGAAAAAATGTGGCATACCTTGAGCATTTGTCTAGCAAACTAAAGCAAATTCCTACAACACACACCTGTTTCCCTTTGACAAGTTATTAACACCGTGGGTCCTATGCGTACTAACTCGTTTTTTATTTAAAAGCTTTGCCTTTTGTCTTTAAAGCATTGACAAGATACGGTAGGTTGATGGGTGTTTGATCATTGCAGTTTCATGCGTTTCACGAACGCAGCATATGCGGCTTCGTTTGCCCTTGACTTTAACAGAGTGCAACATCTCATGCTCTTATTTGCCCGCGAATAGTTTAGACAAAAGTTCAATTAAGGGTTACGTAATGTGCAATTTGTTACAGATTTATGACGCATAGACCAGAAGCTGTCAAACATAGCAATTTGTTATGAATACACCGTGCTAATGAAAATATTGTATTTTATTTACTTAATTTCTTTTATTACCTAGTATGACAAGATGGCGAATACGGAAAAAATATCCGGATACAAGAACTTCACTTGCGTTGTAAACGGTCCGCACAGAGAATACATGGAAACAGAATTTATCTTACGTTTCGAGTCGGATGAAGCGGACACCATCAGGTTAACAAAAGATGATTTGGAAATGGGGAACACAGGAACTGGTTACGACCTTACTAACATACAAATCACTGTCCTAACTGCTGTAACTTAATATGAGTACTAAAGTCTTATATATTAAATCAATGTTTATGTGATAATTCATTGTGAACGGAAACTTGTTTTAGAAGCGACAAACGTCTAGACAATTATATTAGCTTCAAGTTACTGGACTTCTTCTTATTGTTTCCAGCAGATGTATGATTAAATTGTCAACACATTTAGTCACATATATATATTTGATTGGCGTACGCATCGGACCAAATTCGAAAATGGACACAACGTAACTGCTCACACTGAGTAACGTTAAGTCATCATGCTAAACAGCAACATTCAAGTAGATGCGCATGTAAAATGGCTTCATAAGTAGGGTGCTTGTGCGTTTGGAGAATCAAATGGAGTATACCTCCCAGTGTTAGCCTACTCACGCTGTTCCAGCTGGCACCATCCAAAGTGTGCAGACGGTTGTCAATTAAAGGTAGGATAATATTACCTAGGTCGTATTACGGTTTGTTATTGTGATTTTCACCATCCTATTCGTCAACAGTATGCTTATACTCGTCCAGCCTTGCGACCAGTTGATACCTGAATCTGAACGTCGAATATACTCTAGGAATAGTTCGTCGGATTTCTGTATTCCGCAGGAGAGCGAACTGGCTTTTCAGCAAAGCAAGGGATCGCAGTTTGTTTTCCACGAAAGATGTGCATCAAAGATTCCTTCAACTTTATGCCCACCCACTATAACAGAACGACAGCTAAATATATACCGGAGATATGACACTCAAGCTTATTCATGAAAACAAGGATTCGACACCATCGGAAACGGGTTTTGGATCAGGTTGTTATGTTCCTAACACGTTTAATCCTAAGCAAGCATAAGGTAGCCTAACACGAGTCTTCTGCATCCACCATGTAGGTTTTAGTTGTTGAGTACAAGTACGCAGACAATGCAGACACCTGCAGTGTTCACCCATGCAAACTTCACCCAGTTTGCCATATTTACCGTCCCTGGCGAAGTGAGGAACAAACAATAGACCAATTTGCCTGATATAAAGCCGGAACAAATTATCATCTGGCCCTGCAACTTAACAATAGGTAGGTTATCTGACCACTAATACTAGTGAAACCGGTCTGTATTTTGATAAACGTGAAAGCCAACTTCATAATTTAGTAGTAGTTTATTATGAATATAGGGGGTTACAACAAAGCTATACTCGGAAGCTGAATTGTGAGGGTCTATAGGAGGCCCGGTTAATAAAATGCAACAGATTTCGAACCCCTTTATCTGCGGACAATGTTGTTATGCCACATTAGGAACAATTAACGACCGACATCACGTCGATCGGCGTTCTCTTGCAACTGATTTTCTTAGACCCATGTGGGGTGCAACGTACTGAATAACTATGCCAAATTGATAAAATTGATCGAGGCTGTGTTATTACGCTAGCTGAACTGAAAGATTGCCAAATAAATAGGACATGGGTTATCATCGGTTTACCTGACACTGCTTAAACGCAAGCATAACGTACACTGTTACTGCTGTCAGGAAAATCACACATTTGGAACGACAAGGGTTGCGGGACAATTCTTATTACCGAGGCGACTTGCAATTCG